TTTAGCTACTTACTTATTTACTTATTTTTGCATTTGTTAGGGTCATAAAGGGGCTAAAGGAGAAATTGGTGAGCCTGGAAGACAAGGTCACAAGGTAAGGAAAGTGAATATTTAGTGGGTCAATTGTGACTGGGAGGTTGTGGTCACTTTGATTACAAGGAACGAGGAGGAATAATAAAGGGAAATATTTTATCCTTCCTTTTCAAAGGATGGCTGACAAGTTCTCCGTAGATGCATCAGACTTCTAACTGAGCATCATAGTCTAACATTGTTCAATGACAAGAAAAAGAAACACCAAAGAAAGCACCATACATGTTCATTCTTTGTTGTGTTGCTCCCCCTCGCTTTCCTTTTCAAGTCAGTCCCCCTCGGTTCTTTTCCTTGATGTTTTGATAGTCAACTGTTATTCAAGCTAGTCGTTCTACTCTACTAAACAAAATTTCATGACAAGTGTAAAATTTTATGACAAGTGTTGCTAAGACTGGCAATCGGAGAAGTTGGTAATTGGTGTATAGCTTCTCGTCTTAAGTTCTTGAAATAATTTGTTTGTTACTGACTTCATTTCAGTATAACTTAGATTTTGAGTAATCTAGTAGTTAGCAGTCAAACTTATACTATCATCTGGGTAGAAACTTAGAATCCACAGCATAACGTACATTGGGACTGGCATGTCCTGCAGAAAAACTAAGACTGAAAAAGGGGAAGGCAGAGCTCAGTGGCAGAGCACGTACTTAGCAGGCACAAGGTCCTAGGTTCTAGCCTCAGCACCTCCATTAAATACATAAATAAGCCTACTCACCACCTTCCTCCCACCCCCCAAATAACCAAGCCTGAAATTTAAAGCAAAGTGACCTATTTGCCCTTTTTTCACCTGCTAAGATGAAACTGCTTTTAAGTTAACTACGAATTTGACTTCTTGTACGGTAGACATTTTGTCCCTGTTAATTCCATAACATTTTACAAAGTCAAACTGTTCTTTTTAATGAGGGTCCCTTAGACTTTGTTGACTATGTCCTTCTATATCTTTATTGGGTAGCAGAAGATTAGTCTTTTTCTTTTGAAGTTAAGAGCTTGAGAGGCAATTTATTAAGACCTTCAGGCATTAATATTCTTGAACTCCTTAGGTAACTCTGTTGAACAATCTCAGATAAGGAGGATAAATAAGCCAATTTCCTGTGCCTCATTACAGTGTGAACATTTATTTCAAAAGTCTTTCTTATTACTTAGGCTCTGAATAGTTAAGTCATTTTATTTATCTGGCGTATAACAGCTAGGTTTTCCATGTCAAACTGGAGAAAATGGAAAAACAATCAAGTACTTTGGAAATTTCTCTGTGTGCCCATTCTTCCACTAAATTTTAAAATTTGTAATTTTAAAAATTCAACAAATATTTATTAAGTACGTGCTTTGTACCAGGGTTTATTCTAAGGGCTTGCAGTACAGAGGTGAAAAAATATGTCCAATGTGGCTAAATTAAGTATGATGTATCCATGTAATAGAATATCATCTAACCACAAAAAAGGTGTGTAGGGATATTAAATTTAGCCAAAAGATATTGAGGTAGCACGTATAGTGAAGCAGATATAGTAGACTTCTGTTGTTTTTGATGTCCTGCATCCTTTGCTTTCTTTGGGTGACCTCTTTTCTTTGGGGAACTTCTACCTGCCCATCCCATGGGATTTGGGAATGGAGCTGTCAATCAAAGTATCTCTCTGTTCTCTCCAAGAAACTAGCATTTTTGAGACCTTTACAAGTTAGTTATCTGGATTCTCAAATTTGGTTCAGTGAGGAACCTGCAGTATTTTTGTGTGTATTAGGTTAATTGGCCAACATTTTCATTAAAGGCCGTTGAAAATTCCTTTAATTTATTTCACATGTTTATGTCACTTAAAACTTGCAGAGGTGCCTTTGAAAACTGGCATATGAAGATAAGATAGCTCCTTGCAGACTGAACCATGAAAGGGCTCATAGAGGCACTGAGAGCAGAAAGATGAAGAATTAAGAGACTAGGGGCCTGAAGTTTGCTTTCCATTTCACAATTCTGCCTTGAATTCGCTCTCCAAGTTAGTTAATGAAGAGTTTAAAATTTGTTTTTGAATAGAGGAATGAACAGTCGAACATTTCAGCAAAATGATAATAAATTGCTATTCCTAAATTTGTCATTTAATTTTGTGGTTATTGAGTTATTGTGTGCTAGTCATCTGCTGTTGTAGTATTTAAATCAAATCCATTACTCCAAGATTTATCAAGACTCCATAGAAAAATACCCCAAACCTTCCTGATGAAGTCACTGTCGTTTTTGGACTTAGGTAGGGAAATCCGAGTAGCATTTAATTATATACCTGTGTTGATGATCCCATTCCATGAACTCGCTCAGTCACTGGCTTTCCCATTGGAACTGCCTTTCTCCATTGTCAATCATGTGTTCTTATGGAATATAATTATGAGACTAAAACCACTGTGTAGGAACTTTCAGGATTCACTTGAAAATCAAGAATAAATGATTTAGGTATAACCTAGTTGTTTGCATTATATGCCCAAATGTTCTATATTAATACTGCTACTACTTTTTTTTGTATTTCTTTGTCTGTATGTGTGTGTGTTTGTGAAAACATCTAAATATAAACTATAGCCCATGAAGCAAGAAATGAGTGAATTGAAACATGGAAGAAACAATAGAATTGAATTTTAATCTAATATTATGTAGATAATATTAAAGAGTAAGAGAGTTTTTCTCATGATTAACTTCACAACGTAAGTTATTCACTACCACAGAAGGTGTAGAACAGTGTATCAGTTGTGAAATAGATTTGAACAGTGCATCTCTTATCAGAGAGAAAATAACTTTTTCTCAGAGTCCATAAAGTCATTGTTCTGTAAGAGACAGTAGTTGGATTTCTGTTTGGAATATCCTAACATTTTAAATCAGAGATTATAAAATTAATATCAAACAGTCAAAACAATAATTAGAAAACACAGTGGAAGGAGATTCCATTGGCAACAGCAACCAAGTATTAGGAGAAACTTAAGGACTATTC